TCCTTCCTTCCTTCCTTCCTTCCTTCCTTCTTTCCTTCCTCCTTTCTTTCCTTCTTTCTCTCTCTATTTTTTGGAGTCAGATTCTTGCTGTGTTGCCCGGGCTGGTCTTGAACCCCTGGCTTCAAGCAATCTTCCAGCTTCAGCCACATAAAGTATGGGGATTACAGGTATGAGCCACTGCATCCAGCCTGTTACTTATGGATTCTGGATATAAGACTTTTGTCAGATACATAGTTTGCAAATAATTTCTTCCATTCTGTAGGTTGCCTGTTTACTATATTGATAGTTTATTTTCCTGTGCACAAACTCTACGTAGGTCACACTTTTCAAGTGTTGTTTTGGTTGCAATTGCTTTCCAGGACTTAACCATAAATTCTTTGCCAATGCCGATGGCAAAAGGGTATTTATCTGTTTTTTTTTCCTAAGATTTTTATAGTTTTGGGTATTTCAGTTAAGTCTTTAATCCATCTGGAATTAATTTTTGTGTATAGTGACTGGTTGTGGTCTAGCTTCATTCTTCTGCATGTGGCTAGCCAGTTATCCCCGGCATCATTTATTGACTAGAGAGCTTTTGCCAATTTCTTATTTTTATTGACTTTGTCAAAGATCAGATGGTTGTAGGTGTGTTACTTTATTTCAGAGTTTGCTATTCTGTTCCATGGTTTATGTGTCCATTTTTGTACTATGCTGTTTTGGTTACTGTAGCCTTGTAGTGTAGTTTGAAATTGGGTAGTGTGATGCCTCTGGCTTTGTGCTTGGTGCTTAGATTGCTTTCACTATTTAGGCTCTTTCTGGTTCCATATGAATTTTAGAATAGTTTTTTCCTGATTCTGTGAAAAATGGCATTAGTAGTTTGATAGGAATATCATTGAATCTGTAAATTGCTTTGAGCAGTATGGACATTTTAATGATATTGATTCTCCTAATCCAGGGTATGCAATGTTTTTCCATTTTTTTTTTTGTGCCGTCTCTGATTTCTCTCAGTAGTGTTTTGTAGTTCTCTTTGTAGAGATCTTTCACATCCTTGGTTAGCTGTATTCCTAGGTATCTATTCTTTTTGTGTTTATTGCACATGTAATTTTGTTCTTTAGTTGGCTGTCAGCTTGAACATTATTGGTGTATAGAAATGCTACTGATTTTTGCAAATTGGTTTTACATCCTGAAACTTGACTGAAATCTTTTATCAAGTCTAGGAGCCTTTTGGCAGAACCTTTAGGGTTTTTCTAGATATCAAATCATATTGTCAGCAAAGACAGATAATTTGACTGCTTCTTTCTCTATTTGGGTACATTTTATTTTTTTGTCTTTCTTGAGTGTTCTGGCTAGGACTTCCAATACTACACTGAATAGGAGTACTGAGAGTGGGCATTCTTTTCTTGTTCCAGTTCCCAAGGAGGATGGTTCCAGCTTTTTCTCATTGAATATGATGTTGGCTGTTTGTCATAGGTGGCTCTTATTATTTTGTGGTATATTCCTTCAATGCTTAGTTTGTTGAGGATTTTTATCATAAAGCGATATTGGACTTTATTGAAAGCTGAATCTGCATCTATTGACATGATCACATGATTTTGCTTTTAATTCTGTTTCTGTAGTGAATCACATTTATTGATTTGTCTATGTTGAACCAAACTTGCATCCCAGGAATGAAGACTACTTGACCTTGAATTAACTTTTTGATGTACTGCTGGATTCAGTTTGCTAGTATTTTTGTGGAGGATTTTTACATTTAAGTTTGTCATGGATATTGACTGATATTTTCTTTTTTCATTGTGTTTCTGCTGGATTTTGGTATCAGAATGATGTTGACTTCATAGAATCAGTTAGGAAGGAACCCTCCTCCTCAATGTTTTGGGAATAGCTTCAGTAGGATTGGTACCAGTTCTTCTTTGTACAACTGGCTGAATTCTGTTGTGAATCCATCCGGTCCAGGGGTTGTATTTGGCTGGCAGGTTTTAAAAAATTATTATTACTGACTCATTTCCAGAACTCATTATTAGTCTGTTCAGGTTTTCATTTTCTTCTTGGTTGAATATTTAGAGGTTATTTGTTTCCAGGAATTTATTAATTTTCTCCAGGTTTTCTAATTTTTATGAATGCTGGTGTTCCTACTATTCTCTTAGGGTCTTTTGTATTTCTATAGGATCAATTGTAACGTCTCCTTTGTAATTTCTGATTGTGCTTATTTGGATCTTCTCTTTTATTTTCTTCATTAACCAACTTAGTGGTGTATCAATCTTGTTTTTTCTTCCAGAAAAACAACTTTTGGTTTTATTGATCCTTTGTATGGGTTTTCAAGTCTCAATTTTGTTCAGTTCTTTTCTGATTTTGTTTATTTATTTTCTTCTGCTAGCTTTGAGCTTTGGTTGTTCTTCTTTTTCTAGTCCCTCTAATTGTGATGCTAGAATGTTCACTTGGGATCTTTCTAATTTCTTGATGTAGGTATTTAGCACTATAAGCTTTCCTATTAACAGCTTTAGCTGCAAACCGAAGATTCTGGAATTTTGTCTGTCTGTTTTCCTTAATTTCTGCTCTGCTTTGTTGTTTACCCAAAAGTCATTCAGGAGCAAGTTGTTTAACTTGCGCATAATTGTGTGGTTTTGAGAGATCTTCTTGGTAATGATTTCTGTTTTTATTACACTGTGGTCCAAGATTTTGGTATTTTTGAATTTATTGAGAGTTGCTTTATGGCTGCAATTTCTCATGTATTTTGAGAGTAACAGCATGTACTATACAGAAGGTGACATCATCACAGATTTAGGAAGAAAGAAACACTGTTGCAGTTTTGATATCATGTCTGAAATGAGAAGGAAACAGCTTGCTCCCTTGGATCCGTGGTTCCGCCTGTGGCCTCCAGAGGGCGATGTTGCGCAACGAAGGCACCTGTTTTCATCACAGACCATCCTCATCAACTGAGCCTGCTTCCTGCAGCTGGCTGATGTAGCTCACTGATGTCTGTGTAGACAGGGAGCTGTGACAAGAGCAAGAGGTCAGAACACATCCAGACTCCTTAAGGGAAGTCCTCTTTCTGTTTCTGACACTTTTCAAAGCCAGAGACTTGTCCAGTCCAACCTCCCCACTGCTCCTAGGTCCTGAGGCTCAGCGCCCTTGGCTTCTGTCCGCCCTGCTCAAGGTCCTGCAGCGTTGCCACTGCTCAGCCATGCTCCTGCTGCTTGTCCCAGTGCTCGAGGTGATTTTTACCCTGGGTGAGTAACATTCCATTCTTTTTCCTCCCACAAAAGTGACTGTGTTGTAATTGAACCTAAATTGAGACATATTTTTTACTCATACAGCATTGATGTTGCAGGAGGAACCAGAGCCCAGTCTGTGACCCAGCTTGACAGCCAAGTCCCTGTCTTTGAAGAAGCCCCTGTGCTGCTGAGGTGCAACTACTCATCATCGTCTGTTTCAGTGTATCTCTTCTGGTATGTGCAATACCCCAACCAAGGACTCCAGCTTCTCCTGAAGTATTTATCAGGACCCACCCTGGTTAAAGGCATCAACGGTTTTGAGGCTGAATTTAAGAAGAGTGAAACTTCCTTCCATTTGAGGAAACCCTCAGCCCATATAAGCGACACGGCTGAGTACTTCTGTGCTGTGAGTGACACAGTGCCTGAGACTGCAGAGGAGCTGAACACAAACCTCCTGAGATGCTGAGGCTTTCTGTAACTCAAGAACTCAACCTGTGGAGCTTTCAAGAAGGTCTCTCTTTTTTCTGTGCCCCTTTTGAAGGCACATAGGGCAGGGTAGGCTGAGCCCTTGGTAGGGTTTGTCTCCTGAATAATCGCTCCAATGTCAATGTCGTGCCACATTCAGATACGCTTTGTGCCACATGGAGGTTTACTGATGAATTTCTTCAGTGGGGACCTCCTCCACACTCAGAAGAAAGTACATCCTAAGGTGTCAGAGCTCCTAAATAAAAGGCAACAACATTTTTATAAAAAATTATTTCTAGCATTCATCATGATTAGTATTGCCTCAGGAGTTAACTTGTGAATAACTGATGTAATAATCTGATTAGAATGTTAGCTAAAAGCTGTGCAGGATGGATTCTCAATTAGGGCAATCCATGCAGCACAGATTCTCAATCAGTGTACTGCAGATTCTCAACCCAGATTTGAAGCTTAACTTCCAGCACATACATAGTATCCCACTGTGTGGTATTGACATGTTTAAAGTAAATTAGACATAATATCAAGATTTTTAATCTTGTAAGCATTATGCAAAGCAGGAAATTAAACATGAATCTTAATACAATATTGAAAAACTAAGCCATCAAGTTGTGATCATTTTTAAAACAGCTATTCCAGTGATTTTCAAGTTCCAAATCTGTGTGATAAAAATGTAACCAATATAAAGATATCAAATATACTAGATTCAACTACTTTAAAAACTACTTTAAAACTCTGAGGCACTTCATTTTAAGAGATTACACAGATTTATTTTACAAAATTACACAACAAAAATTTCCAGTTACATTATCAGAGCATATATTAATTCTAATGGGTGTCTCCAAGACCAGGGTACACTATTATTTACTCTGAAATAATTATATCAAAAAACCAACATGTCTAAGATATTTTATGTACATGATTATTACTCCAAATTTTTATTTGTAGTTTGATCACATGGTAGAATTTAAAAATGCCTCTCAAAGTATTATAAAATGTTCACACAGACAGAAATTAAGTCTTCCTTAATTCTACTTTTTATAATTTTTGATGACAAAAATTATGAAATGAATTATCTTGCTTCTTAAAAATATTTATAATTGCCTAAATCTCCTCTTTTAAAATGAGATGAAGTCATATTCTTCCCTTATTATAAAACATGCCTTTAAAGTAGTTTAAAAATATTCCTATGAATTGAGCTAAAAGAGGGTAGAGGGTTTATAATCAAAGCTGTTTAGAATTGGCTTCTTCTCTTGCACCAAAGACTCAGGTTCTTGCTTATGGTTTCTTTGGCTGCTGACATTCTTTAGTTACTTCTTAGTGTGCCACCTCTTCCAGTTTTACTTTCGTCTTCATTTCATTTTTGTTTGTAGTTTTTCTTACAGATTTGTCCTTCCATTGTGCATTTTATGGCCCTTTATTTTGATTATGTTCAAATTTTACAGGCCAAGAACACTTCACATGATGTCTATTTTAACAATTTTTTTAAGTGTACAACTCAGTTAACTATTGGCCCAATGTTGTGTAGCAGAACTCTAGTAATTCTTCATCTTATCTAATGGAAACTTTGTACCCCTTCATCAACATCCTCCCACTTCTTCCCCCAGCCCCAAGAATGGTAACCACCATTCTACTCTCCACTTCTATTAGTTTGACTATTTTAGATATCT